TACTCGGTTATTTAATTTTTTGTTCTACTAATTTTGTAAATTGTCTAAATTAAAGATTTGAGTGATTCTCAAGTCAATAAGTTAAATCTACGGTCCAATCCAATTTTTAACATTATGCTGAAAACACATTTAAAGCCGAATTTTGATTTCACTCATGAATTTGGTTTCCTACGGTTATTATATTCGGGCAAGAAATGCTCTCATAATTTTAAATCCAACAAAGAGTCAAATGTGTTGCCGACAAAAAGAAAATAATCAAACTCGGAATTTCCCATGTGTTATATTATATATAAACAAGAAATTACGGATGAGTTCTTTTCTTTTCTATCATTCATCGGGTTTGGATAATTTGTCATTTTATTTTAAAAGAATGTTATATTTTATTAAAAATTAAACAAATCACAATTAATTCTGTGAATTTTTATCTCTTGTGATTTTATTTTTGATAAAATAAAAACTATGGTAAGAATAGCTGAACAAATTATTTATTTAATGTGCAAGTTAATAATTACCTGAGTCGTTTAAATTTAATAACAATGTATAGAGTAGTGTTATATCTTATTAATTTTTTTTTAATAATTCTTATCATATTTAATAAATACGTGGATGTGGGTGAACTCGTCTAACTAAACACGAAGAAAAAATTCAATAAATTGAACTAATTTCAATAAATTGAAACAATTTCAATTTTTTTATAGCTAATTATTTTCTTTTAAATTAAGAACTTTCACTCTTTAAATTTTTTAATTGAAATAAATATTATCTCCTAGAACTTATAAAATTACATAATTATAAATTATTATTCTTAAGATATTAATAATTATGATAAATTATTATAACATTCAATCATTAATCAATTTTCAATTGTGAAAGTGATGAATATAACATTAATCAATAGTTGACCCATTTATTGGACTACGAACGGGAACAAATACTTAATTAAAATAATGAAACTCAAATTCAAATTTATGAGACTAATTTATAATAAATTAGATTGGATTTTGTCATTCTTTTACAACAAAATCTAATTGCATGCAATGGAGTTGAGAAAAATGAGAGAATATATATATATATATATATATATATATATATATATATATATATATATATATATATATATATATATATATAAAAGAGAATAATCTTTTAAAAACTTAATCTGAATTTTTCATTTAACTTATATCTAATAGTCAGTAAAATAATAAATTATAATCTGTTATATTTAAGTTAAATAAAAATTTTAGATTAAATATAAGAATTTTTAGACTTATACCAATGTAAGAAAATTTTGCTTTATATATGCATAGTTTTATCTATCATTTTATATAACATGTATTAAAAGAAACGTATTAATATTTTCATGTATCTATATAAATTATGATAGAGACTAGAGAGTGTTTTTTTTTATTTTTTATCTATTTTGTATGATCATTTAACATTGGTTGCCTCCACAAATATAACATTATATTTTTAAATTTTTTTCTTGTTTGGTCAACATAAATTATGATTTCATCTATCTTAAAATATTTAACAATTGAAAAAATACCTAAGCTCAAAAGTCACGTCTAGTTGAAAAGAAAAAAAAAAGTTCAATTTATTATTATTATTTTTTCTAATTGAGCAACAAACACCCAACGTAAAAATTTTACACAAAATTACTCTCAGATGTATACTTAACATTGGAAAATATAAACGAATATTCCTTAATAATTTTAAAAAGTTATAAAAAATTATGAATCTTATAACTTCACCAAACTTACTTTTTTTTTTTATTGTTCTTGAATAAAATTAATTTCAAAATAAATAAACACCATAATTATCACCCAAATAATTAAAAAATATATTGAAATTATGAGACCTAGATTATTTATCCATTATAGAAGAATCAACTATGATAAAAATTTAAATGAAACAAAATAAATATAAAAATAATGAATGTAGTTTTATAACACACAATGGAATGTATTAAGTTAACGTTTTTAGTATATACCAAAGCAATTCAACACAACTCAAATTTTTCTTGCCCCATAATAGACTACTCTAAATAGGTGGAATTATCCCAACGGACACCTTTATTTAAATACGAAAAGTGAAAAAAAAAAAAACAAATAATAATTTTGATAGGAGTAATACTTTTTTAACTTTTTCTTTGATAGACATAATTTTAAGCAGAATTTTTTTCAGAATTTAAGTAAAACACAATATTAACACTTTAAAAAAATTATTTCATCATTCAAATAAATTTTAAAAAATAAAAAAAAATCTTATAAAAGGTTCTACCAAAATTTAAAACAAATGTTATACATGTTGATGCTCTTAAATTGGGTTTGAATTCGAACCTTTTATAAGTAAAAGAAAAACTCAATAAAAGACGGAGTTGACGAATAATAAGAAGAGTTGGTCAATCTTCATTTTATAACTTCACACTTTAAGAATTCTTCTTAGAAGGAAAGCAAGCTATAAAAATATACTCTCTAAAGAAAAATAATCTCCTCAACAGAAATGAAGCAAACTTCATTCATAAAATTAAAGCGAAAAATTTTGATGGTAAAAATGAAGTATTAGTTTTCCAGCCAATCAAACTAGAATAACTATTTTTTTCAAAAAAAAGTAGATTTGATCAAATTAGACACTTTAAAGCATAATATCAATCATTTTAATTTTTAAGCCAAAGTCTATAGATAACATTTCGTCCATCAAATTATTTTCCAAAATATCTAAACAAAACTAATTTGACCTATAAAATTACACATTGATGGCATTTTTTTTTGTTTAAGAATTAACTACACTATACATTTTAAGCTATACTTTGACTGTTCGTTTGCCAAATTTGTAAAGCATTGATGATAGAAATACTGTAATAGTAATAATTTCACAATATTAACAATCAATAAATGAATATATATATATATATATATTCTATTTACTTAAAATATACGTATATATTGAGGAATGCGAGTAATGTGTTAATTTATATTTAAATTGTTGTTGACTTTTTAATATAATTTGTATTATTGTTTCTCTCTTATTTATGGTAAGTGTAGAATTAAAAAATTTATAATTAACATTATCTTAAATTCTTAAAAAGCATATTTTTCCAGTTTCATTTTACTAGTCCATTTACGACGACAATACACAAATTAAGGAATGTAGTTGATATTCTTATTCATGTAAAAAATATCAATAAATGTTTAATATAAATTTTATTGCCCTTCCTCTCTCATTTATGGTAAGTGTACAAAATATTAAAAAAAAAATATATATATAAAAATTAATATAAATATCACATAATATATATATATATATATACATATATTTAATGATTTAAGAAATAAAACTGTTTTTTTAGTAGACAATAAATAGAAAAAAAAAGAGTTGTGGGAAGATGGCGCATGGAAGTTAGGACCATGGCTTTTCAGACTTAAATACACATAACCAGCGCCGTATCCGACCATTTAAGAAACCATTTACGACATATATTGAGAAACCTGAATTGATTACGCTGTCGTAAAGCTATCCATTCTTCCAATTAAATGGGCAAACAATATCATTGGAATGTTATGTTTTCTTTTTAAATAATTACGCAAAAACATTATTCTTATTGGTCCTTTTATAACCAAATAATTTCAGGATTTTATCATATTTGCTTTCTTTCATTAATTCTTCTTTTTTTTTATTTGAACCGTATAATAGCCTATAACTTCCCTTTTTTATGGCCAAAAGTTTTAAAATTATATCACATCAATGTTTTTATACAAGGATGACAATTAAGTTACTCTAAAAATAAGTATCGTAAAAATTAATTAATCTGATGATTTTAAAAATATAAATTTTATAAATTTAACTATTAAATAATATGATATAAACATATTAATTATGTATTAATTTTAAAGATAATATTTTACGGTTAATATGTACTTATCTTCTTAAAATTTTAAATAATTCTTTGTAAAATACTAAGCTGCTTGATACAGCAGCAATTATTTTTTATTTATGCAAACTTTTTTTACTTAATCTATTTGTATAAAACATTTAATCTAATAATTAAATTTATAAACTTTAATATTAAAAAATATTTAAAAAGTAATTTTCACAAGAACTATCTTATAATAGTTTGATCTCCATCCTTAATAATGCTTTAATTTTTAGCACTTTATTTATTAATAGATGAATTTTACGTAAGTTTCGTCAAAACTTGCATTTACCTTTTTCCTTTTAATTGGATTTTTTGTTCTTTTCAAATAATCATTTCATAAATTAATTATTTGTTACAAAATAGAAAATCATAATTTATGAAAATCGCACGGGAGATTTGGATTTTAATATACATCTAATAATGCTGAAAAAAAAAATCATTGAACTAATGGAAGTCAGATTACGTCAAGTAAAGTTAAACGAAAATCAACTTAATTCGTATTTTGTGATTAATTAAACCCAGATTAGTTGAATTATAAGGTCCAACGAAACCTATCATTACCCCCGATTTAACACGTGGATTTCACTATAATTTTAGACAAAGTACACGAGATTTTAATTTTCCAAAATTAGATCATTAAATATATTAAAATATTTGCAACTTTATTTTTTTTAGCCAATCGCTTTCGCTATTTCAGTATAAAGATTCTTAAATACAGATTATTTTTACATACATATACAATTTACTTGTTATAGGGCAGTTAATTCAATTAATTTTAACAATACAAAGGTTACAGATGGAACTACGCCGCGAATAGTATATATAAGGTTTTTTTGTTTTTTTTTATATTAATAAATAAAAGAATTAAAATAAAGATAGAGAGAGTAACCCAGGTCGTTCAATTATGCGTTGTGAGAAAGGAATTAATTATTTTCCCGGAAAAATAAATTGAAAATAGGAGAGTTTATTATTTATTAAATTCTTTTAGACATTGTACCCGAATCCGAATCCGAAACCGAATCCGACCCAGAAATAGCAGTAATTTCTTTCTTCCTTGATGAATGCAGAAAATAGGAAGCAACTCATAACTTGCATTCAGCAATAGATCTCTCACTCTCACTAAGTTCTCTCTCTCAGATTTGATTCTCACAAAGTTACCTTTTTAGGGTTTTCGATCTTTCTCCCGTTCTACTCGTTCCTGTTTCCCTCCTCATGTAAGTTACCGCCATAATTTCATTTTTCATTTTTAATTTTTTTCTCGGCGTGAGGTAAATTAATGGCATCGTTCCGTCGGACTCTGTCGCCGGCGTATCACGATCGCCAGTACCTAAACGCTGCGTTTTCGGTTTCTTCGCCTTCACACAAGCTTTCATCCTCCAACACAAAGTACTCGTCGCCGCTGCCGGCGCTCGCCGCCGCGTTCAGGCGACTCATCGGCGGCGTATTCATGCGACGGTACGGTCGGAAAGGTCTATGGAGACGCGCCGTGTTCCGGTGCTTGCTTTGTTTCTTTGTAGGGTTTTTGTTAGGCATGTTCCCTTTCGGTCACGTGGTGGAGGACATTCGCTCACAGGATATCTCTTTCGAGATGAAGCCGCCGCACGCGAATGCGCAACTGCTTCGTCAAGATCGCGTTCTGAAGAATCGCGTTGAGGAGGATGAGGAGGGTTTCGTGGTGGATCCGGTGAGTCTGAGTGCGGAGAAGCGGAGTTTGGCGACGGAGAAGTTTGATTTCGTGCCGAGGAAGCAGTTGATTGTAGTGACTCCTACCTATGGACGCGCTTTTCAGGCGTATTTCTTGAATAGGTTGGGTCAGGTGTTGCGTTTGGTGCCGCCGCCGGTTCTGTGGATTGTGGTGGAAATGAATTCGGCATCGATGGAGACTGCGGCAGTACTTAGGAAAACGGGTATGATGTATAGGCATTTGGTGTGTGCTAAGAATTTGACGGATGTGAAGGATAGAGGGGTTCATCAGAGGAACACAGCGTTGGAGCACATTGAGCGTCATAGACTTGATGGCATTGTTTACTTTGCGGATGATGATAATGTGTATTCTCTCGAGTTGTTTGACGTCTTGAGAGATATTAGGTACTTAACTTCTCTTAATTGATTGCATTGTTGTTTTTTTGTTTCATTTGGTTTTTCCCTTTGTGTTTCGACTTTGAGTTCCTGTAGTGATGATGGGCTTGCATTTGATCTATATTGTCTCGCATGTTTTTGAGGTTTTGTTGTTGGCTTGTTGCGAGTAGTATGCGACCTTTGTTTGTTGGCTTTTGTTTGTTGCATTAAGGTACCCCTGTCTCGAAGCAGGTGGCATGCCTGATTTTTGGGGGCATTTGGCTTTTTGGCTTAACTTCTTCCTGTAAACGTCTAAAATTAAATAATTGTGAGTTTCAGTTACTTTTTCGTTAATATGAGTTTTTTTAGTTGTTCACGTGTTTGTTATTTTCTTCAAATTTGTTGGCTGAATTCCATAATGATATGTTTGTAACTAATTTGTGGAGTGAATCGGGAAATTCATTCTCCGCAAATTTGGGTTTCCTGACTGAGAAGGACTAATATGTTTGACTTTTGTGGTTAATAAGGCGGGGTTTTTCATTCTTAGGAATTAATGTGTTCACTGCCAAATTTGAGGAATGAATTTGGGAGTTTACTCCTAATTGTATAGGTTGTGATTTTAATAGTAGACTAAATCTGTAACTTTTGTTTTAGGGTATTTTGCTTCTTTCATTAATAAAGTAATTATACCTGTTATTTGTTATGTTGTTGATTGCTACTTTCTTTTACCTTTGAAATTATGTAATTGACATATTTGATCGTATTTTTTCCCTTTATATCCGTGATAAAGTTAATCTTTACTCCAGAATCTTCTGTGTCCTAGTTTTTCAGTAGAGCAGAAAACAATGTTGAAACACTATTTGGTTTGTGGCTAAATGGATTACCTATATATTTAATTACTAGAAATTTGAACCATGTGTTCAGTAGTTTTACCTTCTTGTATTAAGAGCAAGACTATAAGAGGTTTTTTTTTTTCTTTTTTTTTTTGGGGGTGGTTTTTTTTTTGTTTTTCTTGTCAATTGGTATGTTTTCACTCATAACCTAAAAGGTTACCCCGTTTTCACTTTATTTCTTGTTTTCAAGAATTTGTAAAGGAAAAGGTGAAAGCAACAAAATCTTATTTTGACCATTTCCGTAGTTTCTTGGAAACAGGAAACACAGAAGGTGGCATTCATGTAATTCTTAGTCAAAAGCATATCAGTTGAACAAAAGCCTAAAACCAACTGAAAATACACCTATACATTTTCCCTCATTTTTGCCAAAGGTTTTGAAAAAGGAGGTTCCATTCCAAGGTGAGAGCATGTCACAAGCCTCAATTGGGGGGTTTGCAGTGGTTCTAATAAATGACCTACCAATGAAGGATCATTCATGTGAATTAAATCCAAGACCTTTTTGTCGAAGCCATTTGATTTTACCAGTTGAGCCAACCATTGTTGGAAATCACATCATCCCTTTGATTGTAATGTCTTGATTGCATTTCCCTTTTGTTGAAGAAACAGAACCAATATTGGCAAATTCCACTTTCATGATTAAGGTAGTGACTGGCCTCAGGCCTGACCTTTTTTGGACTTATTTTCTTCTTAAAGGACAAGTATGGCAAAAAATAAGCTAATGGGATGAGATTCTGTCCCATAAAATAGCTTTCTTTTGGCACTATTCTCTGTACGGTTTAGAGTAGTTTTAACTGAAAAAAAAAAGTATTATTTTTAACTTCAGCTTTGAAGTAGTTTTTAAGATTAAAAAAGGGCATGCCAAAGGTTACCGAATTGAATTCAAATATTTGGAATTGTTAATGTTAAGCTTTCTTTGAGTCACATCCATTGGTTTTCTATGTGTGAAACATATAATAATATTTTGATGTTTTCATTTTCAACCACCCCGTTTTATCAGCCATTCTGTACATCGTTAAACTTTTACATATTCAATGCTTCCTTTTTATCTGTGTCCTCACTTGTATATTAATAATTTTCTAATGTTGAGCTGGTTTTGTAGCCGCTTTGGGACTTGGCCTGTAGCCATGCTTTCACCGAGCAAGAACAAGGCCATTTTGGAGGGTCCTGTATGCAATGCAAGCCAAGTGATTGGATGGCATACAAATGAGAAAAGTAGAAGACTTCGCAGATTTCATGTTGATATGTCTGGCTTTGCATTTAACAGCACAATCTTGTGGGATCCAAAAAGATGGCGACGCCCTACTTCAACTCCTATACGACAGCTCGACACAGTGAAGGAGGGTTTTCAAGTATGCCTCCTATCCTTACTCTTCAATCGGTCTCACCCTATTAATATGTTCAGATGTCCTTGCTATTATTGTTTTATATTTTTATGCTTAATATCATCTGCTATTTTTACAATCATTAAACTGATATTACTTATGGTTTGGCAGGAAACCACCTTCATTGAACAATTGATGGAAGATGAAAGTCAAATGGAAGGTTCACCTCCTGGGTGTTCAAAAATATTGAATTGGCATCTCCATTTGGATGCTCATAATATAGTTTACCCTAAAGGTTGGATGCTTCAGAAAAACCTAGATGCTGTCATACCTGTCAAGTAATCCTCCAATTCTTTTGTGAGTGTGTCATAGGTATGATCTGATTTGTAGAGTGATATATAGAATCTTACTTGTAATGCTTAAGCAAAATGCAGAATGCCGTTCACTTCTAAATTCTAATATCTTTTAGTGATACTTTAGAAAATAGAATGTTGTTAACTAGAGAAAGTTTGTCACCCCTTTTGGCCTGGCATCAACGTGAAATTCATGTTGTTTAAGAATGCTTTATAGCTTTAATCTCATGGGAAGCCAAATTAACTTAGCTTTTGTTCATGACAGTTTGCCCATATTTGGTATTGGTTCATCACTGAATAGATGGGTGCATCAGTTAGCCACCAGTGGCACTAATGCATTACGTCGCCGGGCAAGACAGGAACAGGTTACTGGTTTTGTTTCCCGAATTCTCTTGCACGAAAAAATATTTGCGGGGGCAAATTTTTTGCTGTTGTAAAGTATGCAGCCTTATTTCTTTGAGAGAAATAGGTCCTCCGAGAATAACAAAAAATGATCGACGTGTTTGAGTTTCAACATTATACACAGCTTAGGTAATCGGTGGATGTTACGTCTAGGGGCTAATTTGATGTCCACCAATACTGTTTCTGATTTAGGCAATGCATCAAAATCTGCAAAGGGTAAATTCTCAAATGTATTCCCATCTTCATATTTCTTTTAATTCTTTCAGGCGATGATATTCTTCCAAATGCTTAATTTTGATAAACTACTATATAAATTGCTATGTACCATAATAATATATGCGAAGCAGTTGAATATGAGGCACTACATTAGGATATGTATCGCTTTCGAAGAGTGATAGTAGACAATTATCTAGTTTACTTGTTAAAAGGACAAAAATCAAAATAAAAAATTAAAAAGGTGTAGCTAAGTCGGAACTTGGATCTTCATTCCATCAGTATTGCTCCCCACCCGCTCCCCCCAAAAATGGTTTTGTTTATTGTAGTTGCTTAGATTAATTATAAGTATTTAAAAATAATATATTTTTTATATTTATTATGCTTCACATTTTTTATATAATTATTTTTTTGTATAAAAATTTATTATTTAGTTGTTTTGAAAGTAGTTCTAGGAGATGTGGTTAACGCTTTTGAAAAGCAAAAGGGCACCGTATTATTGTCGGCGAAAGCAAACTACTTGCCATCACATGGAACAACCCAAGCGATCTGTAAACATACTTTTTTTGCTTGAAATGTGTGGAATGCGATAACCAAGTTCAACGTTACCGAAAATGATGCTAACGACATATTCAGGAGAGACCAGAAGTTTTTAACTACACGATCCTAACTTAATCTTAATCTTAATCTTAGCTGCTCAATCAGTCCTTGGACACTAGGGATTTTCCTTGGAGAGAAAATCTACAAAACCAGATTTTTTATGCTTATAGAAAGATTTGAACTCGTGTCAGTTGAGAACACAATTAATTTTCTTTGAATTTTTTTATCGTTTGTCTCCTGCAATGGCTCTCTAAAGATACACCGTACGAAGCATTTTACTTGACAGGTCAAAATTGATGCGCCATACGAGCAAGTATAGCACTATTAAGTCACTTCGAGCGAAACTGTCTTGATTGGTGATAATAATTTTTCTTAAACAAAAAATAGACAATAAGGATTTTGAAATCGAGGAAGAAATTATAAATAAAGTTTGAAATAAACCCCTTTCTTTCTTGGGCTATCAACTTGTTATCTAACATACAAAATTTTAAAATAAAAATTAAACGTACAAAGTTATAGTAATTTTAAAGTTTAATTCATCTAAACATAGATCTCTTCCGTTTAATATAGTGTATTAAAATTCAAAGTTTAAAACTCAATTCAAATTTAATCTTAGATTAAGTGATAACATTTTTAAAATTTAAAAATATAAAATGAAATGTTTAAGAAAAGATGAATTAATAAAAAAAAAAAAATCAACTTTTAAACACTCAATGGTTTCAGAGTAAATACTCAGATTTATGAAGTTACTATCTAAAGATGAATTGATAATCTGAACTAATAAATGGAACATTTAGAGTATGTTATAAATTTCTCAAGAATATTATTTAGTATGGATATTTAAAAAAATTTCAGAAAATTAACATTCACAAATGTTTTTCAATAATATTTTTTGGCAAAATTATTCTTATAGAAAAAGTGAGAATCTAGAATTTTCATGAAGGTGAAAATGTTTTAACATTACTCAAATTTTTAATTTTTTAAAAATCTAAACAATCGTATTTAAAATATTCTCAAAAATCATGATTCTCACGTCATCCTAAAGATAAAAAAATCATAATTTCGAACAATTTACCAATGAAACACAAACACTTCAAGACCAATACTTTCAAATCTACTAATAAAACACTTCCGGAAGGAAAGATTATATTTAAAATTTAAAGAATTAAATATAAAAAACCAACACATTAAACTTGTACTAATCTTATTGATTTAGATTCTTATCTCAAATTATTATAAATTTTTATAATAATTGTTATCCTAAAAGTTTGTACATTTATTAGTAAAACCAGATTGCCTAGTGTCCGGTAAGTCGTCAATTTAAAACTACCAGTTACCATTTCATGGATCTTAATTTGTAAATTTGTAAATAACACAAACTTAAAATATCAAACATTATTGATTATAAATGTTAGATTAAATAAAAATGAATTAAAGAGACGTCCCTTAAATTAAAAAATGAAAATAAATTATTAAAGTGAAGAGATTTTGATAGTTTATCAAAATTTAAAATTAAATTAAATTTAAGACTGCAATTTTAAATTTCATTCAAGAATTTTAATTTGACAAAAAATCAAGATAAATTTAAATCAAATTAAAATTTAAAAATGATATTAAAAATAAAAATTAAACGCTCAAATGTAAAAGAATCACAAGATTTAATGAAGAATGTTCACCATATTCGGTTAGCAATATATATGATAATAACACGTCATGATAAATTAAATAAATGATACATTATAAATAAAAAAATAATATTTTAAAAAGTGAAATTATAAAAAATACGTAGAAAAACTAGCTTTTATGTCTCTATATAGCTTGCTCACAAGCCTACATTGTTATCCCTGCAGCAGACTAAGTTGCGCTTCCAATAACGGTGATGTTTAATCTGATAAGCTGAGTTCATTTCAAAGTTAGATGTTCGTTGCAAATCTTACACGACTAATTGAGAGGTCAGAAAGGGGCTTTCAGAGACCTAATTGCATTTCAGCATACGGTATCCTTTGCAGAATGGGGACTATGCAACTGTATACATACATGTGGATAGTCCATATTCCCAGAAAAGCCAAGAATAAAACATCAAAATTGAATGAATAATATTACAGTGAAAAAAAATAGAATAAACACAAAAAAAACTATGGTACAAAATCCTGCAAGGAGGCTGGGCGGATTTCCTGGAGCACTGGAACGAGGTTCTGTTGATGAGAAGATATGACTGAATTGCGTACCCCGAAGTTGACAGGGTCATATAAACTCTAAAAGGGCTGCATATTCTGGTAAAGTCACCACATATGTTTGTGTATCCTCTGTTTTAATGCCTGGAAACCCTAGAAAATCGCCCAATCCATTGGTCCAATTACTAAATTCCTGTTAGTCACTTAACTATCACGTCAGAGTTGCTCCGTGAACTGAAGAACTTGTGTCAGAAGGGTGTAACGAAGTAGACAAATGTTGCTGCACATGAGCATCATTTGCAAGACCAAGGACTGCTAAAGTTGACCTGCACATGGGTATATGTAATTTTAATTAATTACAATTTAAGTTAGACCTAGCTTCTCTAACAGAGAATGCAAAAGAAAATCTAAAGCTAGAAAATATAGTTATGTTTAATATATATTCTACATCATTTTTTCCCACTAAAATTTAAGCTAATCAAGCATAATCTTTAAACAAGTTGTTAATTGGTGTAAGATTAATTTTGATTTACACTTCGTGTCATGTTTATGACCTTATATACCAAATATACTTGCTACTTCAGAAATAAAAATTAACATTATATCACTGGACATTTATGGGATCAGTAGCCAACACAAAAGAACTTTTGAGCAGTTTCCCACCTTTGGTTTTTGGCCCAAAAGTTCCCCTTGCCCACAAAAAACAATCTCATTTCTTCCTTTATGTTCTACGGGTTTGATCCAACCTGATCCATTTATAGCAAAAAGTACAAAATAAATCAAATTGATTATTCTGTTTTTTTATATCAAAAGTACTATGTGAAATGAAATATTTGTTTTTATTTTGCTTTATCTATCCCTATATTGCAAATATAGGGTTTGAATAATAGAAAATCCTTTCTTCTATATCTGTATTGATCGATATTGTTACATTCCAATTCATTCTTGATACCTTCCAAGGAAAATCCTGAATTAGATCCCAAATTGACAGGTTTAGTTATTTGAAAAAATTGTTTCCTAGGATCCAATTACAAGCTTAAATTTATGCTTTTAATTTTCAGGCAGTGTGCTTTTTCCTGGAGCAGGAATATAAGAAGAAATATACACAGTATAACACTTCATATTGAACTATAACTTGAAAGAAAAAAATATACCCTGATGAAGGTATCCAAGTTCACTGCAAAAGAAGGTTCTAGGATATTTTACCTAAGAACCAAAAATTTTGCAGTTATTTCATTGGCATAAAAAGCAGGGGATCAATGCTTTATTTTAAATTTCAAACAAGTGAGTTTTTTTCTTAAATATGCTGCGTATTATGCTACAACATCTGAAAATCATGCATCTCATCAGTTATTTTCATTAGTAATTGGATGAAAAGGTAGTGGGGGATTAAAATCACACATAGCTCATTGTAGAAGAATAAATAATGCAATTAGGCCTTTCAAATTATAATATCTAGAAAAGCTCACCTACTAAGTGAAGATTTTACAGTTGGTTGGCTGGCATAAGAAGCAAGGGGACCTCTGAGATTGGCATGCCTATTGAGTGCACTTTCCAGTTGTTGAGGTGGCAACTGTGAGGAGAATGCAAAAACTATTATTATTGGGAAGTATGTAAACAGCATCTAGATACAAAATATAAGCTAACAATATTGTGTAATTATAGTAAGTAGGATAGATACAATCTGAGTATTTATTTACTTTGTTCTATATAACTAACATGTCACTGTTATATAGTTTAGACACATGGATTCATTTGTCTCTTGTTTTCTATTTCCTTAACGTGGTATTTAGAGCCTCAGGAATGGCAACTCTCCCTATGCGTACCCGGTAGACCTATTGTTCATTGATTATTATTTTTTTGGGTAAGCCATGTCACACTTTGATTTTCAGCTTTTATCTGCAGCAACGTCCTTCCACCAGCATCACCACCTCTGTCCTCCATTAGCCACTGCCTGCCAAAGTCTTCTCCAGCCAGTCACCCTTGGATCCCCTCCATCTTAACAAAATCCCAATGGTTTTAGGCCAACTTGCTGCTACACGCACACACAGTGTCATCCCAGTACTACCCTTCTCTATCCACATTGTACTGTTAGCTATACGTATAAACATGGCATTTTATTAGGAAGAAATAGGCATCCCCAATTACCCGATAGAAAACCCTGTAATTTTAAGGGTCTGCACCTCCCAATGCCAAAAGGCCCCAATTCTCTCACAAAGGACAAAATGATCTCTCTCAAGCTGCTCTCAAATTTATATGCAATTTGCCTTAATTCTTCTCTATCTTAGCCGAACAAAATAATAGACATCAACTAACTCTCTCTCTTACTAAACACTGACAGATATCAGCAACTAACACAATTGTAGTCAACTTCTTGGGATTC